TTTGTTAACACCCACTTCCTTCCCCCTGCCTCACCCTCTCCCATGTCCCCCCACCCGAACCATCAGTCCCTTTGTTTTCTCCTCCAGATTGTTTATCCAGCCTAGCTCATCTAGATAGACATGCAGAGATGATAACATGCACAAAAAACAAGACAGAGCAAAACAAAGCAACAAAAGAAACAACAACAACAAAACCAACGACAAAGAAAAGTCTATAAATAATTCAAAGTCAGTTTGTTGACCTTTAGCAGTGCTACCTGGTCAAGTGGTAGAGTCTGATGGTGTGCCACGCCCTGACCCCAAAGCCTATTCTTGTTATTCTTTGGGGACTTTGTTGCTCTGCTCCCCTTACTGTTCTGTTGCACGCCCTTAGTGTTTTGCCTCTGTGGTGGGGTCAGATTGGGCACAATTCCTGCACTGTGTCTCCAGTCTCCCCCTCACCCCAATCCTGTGGCGCTATGGGTCAGTGAGGGATGTCCTGGTGGGACCTGCCCTATGTAGACTAATACTTCTGTACCATAATCCTGAGGAGTCCCTTTGCTTCTTTCTAGTGTTAAAACTCCATGTGATTCTTAAGTCTTCCTCTTGGCTGACCTATACTTTCCTCTTCATGCAGCTCAGTCCTCAAATATTATGACAATTGCCTACCTGAAACTGTTTTCATTTTACTCATATTTACTTAATAGTTCGGTTGGTTTAAGAATTCTCATGGAATTCTTTTCCTTCAATGTATTGAAGGCATTGCCTTCTCTATTATTTTCTGGCTTCTCCTTTCTGTTGCTTTTGAGAAAAAGTGTGGAGACGAAGATATTCTTTCTTGTAGATGGTTTTTATGTAGCTTATTTCTCTCCCCGATCTTTCAAAGCTTGTAGGACTTCCCCTGTTCTCTAGCCCCCAGTAATCTGACATGGCATAATAAGATAACTTTGGATGAATCTATATTCATCTGTTGTGCTAAGGCAGAGTTTTTTCATCTGTAAACTGTTTTCTTCATCTGGAAAGTGTCTTGAATTATTTTATTGTTGACTGTCTTCCATTCCCCCCCTCTCCCATTTACTTTTCTAGAGCACCTATTATCTAGAGAGTGGGTCTTCTGGTCCAGTTCTTTAAAATTGCTATTTTTCATCAGATAGTTTGAACATTGGCGAGACGTAGCAAAATGTGGTACAAAGGACCAATAATGAGCACATACGGTTGGAAAACTTAGGCTGGTGGTCTTGTTCAAGGCAGGATTGCCACAGTTTCAATTCATGAAAAACAGTATCTGCACAGTAAAGTGAGACCGAGTAAAGTGAGGTATGCCTAAACTGGCAGCGATAAAGAATTTATAGAAGTTACTATTTTACGCTGCTTGCTGGAAGCACTTTGGGGAGCCCTGGTGGTGTAGTGGCTGTGTGTTGGACTGTGAACCATAACGTAAGGTCAATAGTTTGAAAACACTGGCCACCCCATAGGGGAAAGATTAGACTTTCTGCCACTGTAAAGACTGTCACAGAAACTCACAGGGGCAGTTCTACCCTGTCCTGTAGGGTCGCCTTTGAGTAGGCAATGAGTTTGGTTTGGGCTTTTGTTAGGGACGGTACAAAATGAGCCTTAGTGGCCATCGTCGGAGTAATATTGAGCTTCTAACCACAAGGCCAACAGTTTGAAACCACCAACCGCTTCATGGGAGAAAGATAAGGTTTTCTTCTCCCGGCAAGATTGATGGTCTCAGGAACCCACAGGTACAGTTTTACTCTGTCCTATAGGGTCACTGTGAGTTGGAAATGACTCATAGTGAGTTTGGGTCTTTTTGTTTTTTGGGGGGTGGCACAGGCATTTTGTAATTCGCTGCTAGCTTCAAGGTGGCTGATCTGAACGCGCTCAGTGAGTGGTGAAAAGCCTGGCTGTGTGCTTCTGTAAAGGTGACAGGCTGGGAACCGTTGCTTTTCGGAATTTGGTTTTGTCTCCTCCCGTCACGTGGTAGAATGACTACCTTCTGTCATGGTTGCCCAGTCAAACCATTCATCGTGGTGGCCACAAAGAAGTCCCCTCTAGAGGAAAGGCATCCATACCATACCCCTGAGGAGAGTTGCCAGGTCTTATAAACCCTGAATGAGCAAGAATCAAAAACCAATACCTCCGAACAGATGCTGCTGCCAGTCAGTTCCTAATCAAAGCCCCAATGGCTTCCCAAGACTGTCATCTTATGGACGCAGATTGCCACACCTTTATGCTGTGGAGCAGCTGGTGAATTCGAACTGCCAACCTTGTGTTTGCTGCTAAGTGCTTAACCATGCCAACAGCAGTGTCCCTTTAGTCTGTCTTTGGGGCTTGTATTTCTTGGGATTTATGAGTATTTATTATGGAGAGCAGTTCTTAGAGCCCTGTGTTTGGATGAATGTATGGATTGTGATAAAAGTTGTACAAGCCCCCAATAAAATGACTTGAAAAAAGAAAATGTAAGACTAACTTGAAAGGGAAAAAAAGACTCGTAGATCAGTTCCTCTTTTCTTCTTAAGCAAAGACCCTTCCCGACCCCAGAAAACAACTTTGGAGAATGTAAACTACAGGGTGTCTGATTTAAGAGGGTACAAATACAGGTGCGGGCAGCTGTGCTGCCCTGAAAACAGAGGGGTGCAATGAAACCTTCCCTACTCAATGTCCAGATTATTGGCAGGCAAGTTTATACCTTCCAGGATTATGCTTCAGAGAACAGAGAATTAGCAGACACCCGAGAACTGTCTGTGGCACAAAGGAAATAAAAAACAAAACAGGGGAAAAATACCTCAGGGAAGTCTTAATAACCTATTTTTATATAAGGCATCACAATACTTTGGGCCTACAAACAAGAGCTGTGTTCTATCTCACTACTTTGAAGGTTGTTTCTGATTGTGTCCTGGTCTCCCGGACTCAGCTACATTGACCTAGAAGGTTAGCCAGGGTGGATGAACCGTCTAGCTCGCTCCCATCTGCTGGTGCTGGCTGTCAGCAAGGACACCTTCATCCTCTGGTGGGGCTGGGCCGGCTTCCTGACCTAGCACACTCGGGGCAGCGTTCCACGAGGGCAAGGTAGAACCTGCAAGGCCTCCTAAGGCTTAGGCTCCAGAACAGGTCCGTTTGTTCTTATCTGCAAAAAACCATCCTGAGGCTGGTCCAGATTCAAGAGAAGCCGAGTCTCCCTCTGGCTGAAAGGAACAGCATAATTACGTTGCCAAGGAGTGGGCAGAATGTACACTCGCTCCAAAAGGGGCCCTATGGGAGATGGACAAACACAGGCAGAAGATAAAAGTTCAGAAAGAAAACCAAACCAGTGTTGTTATGAACTATTGCAGCAATGAAACAAGAACAAGAGACGATGGAGAAAAAACAGGAGTCAGAAAAAAAAGCTCTTCTTGAAGGTATAAGAGCTACAGTAAAATATTTTAAGGGCAACTCTTAAAAAGCAAAGCAAAATAATTAACTAATTAATTAAAAACAGAGGATAGAAGTAAATTAGAGGATGTGTCCAGGAGACTCAAATCACAATTGTTCTATAAGAGAAAGAAGAAACTGAAGGGAATAAGTCCATCAAAGGAAAACGTGTATGAAAAGAAGGACATTAGTTTTAGCAAACTGAAAGAGCTCTTGGTGCCCAGCACAACATACTAAATAGCCTTGACCAAGAAGTACCAGTCCTGTTGGTGCAGTGGTTAAATACTCAGTTGCTAACCAAATGATCAGCCGTTTGGAGAAAGATGCAGCCGTTTGCTCTAGTAAAGGTTTGCAGCCCGTGGTAGTATTGGAAAGACTCCTGTTTGGAGACAAAGGCTCCTTAGAACAAGCAACCATCTAAATCTGCAGGAAAGAAGCACACCAGCCAGGGTGATCAAAGGATTGCTGCTGATGAAAACTATGCTGGGCATGAGGGGAGGGTTGTATCGGAGCACAGGGAAAGTTGAAAATCCATTTGCAAAGCTCCTAAGAGGATTAAGCCTCTGTTGGGGTCCTTAGATCCATTGACCAGGGATGTGAATAGTCTTGTGCACTGGACAGTGGATCACTGCAGATATAAGGAGGTTAAAATTTAACATCTTACCATTTGTTTTCCCTTTTGACCCAGTTTCAATTTGTAGATTTTAATGAAGTCCTGCTTTATTTTGTTGTTGCTTTGGGGTTGTTTTTTGTTTTGTTTGTTTTGTTTCGGGGGCGGGGGGTAAGGCATGATTTTCTTTATATGAAATCCAGAAAAGGTTAATCTGTAGGGATAGCAATAGATTAATAAATTCTTAGGGTTATGGCAGGGGAGGTTGGAGGGAAATAGGGAGCTAATAATGATGAATACAAGAATGAACACACTTTTAAAATGGATTGTGTTGATGATTGTTTTTTTAAAAAAAGACAGCCCTGCAAACGTGTGGGGCAGCTCTAGCCGCTCCTCTCCGGTTGCTGGCGTTCATAACGGACTTGATGGCAGCCGGTCTGCTTTGGCTGAGCCAGAGAACTACCTTGTGAAACTTTACAACAGTGGCGAAAAGAGAACCTCTTCTAAGTGTCCAGAGATGCAATATTCAAAAGATAACGAATCGCAAATGGCCGTGGACTTCTCAGCAGCAACATGAAAGTTAGAAGGAAATGGATTGAGGTTTTCAAAATTCTGAGGAAAACTATTTTCAACCTAGGAATTTGAATAACCAGACAACTACACTGTAATCACAAACAAAAACGAAAACCCTCACTGCCGTCCAGCTATTTCTGACCCACAGGTCCCCAACGGACAGATCAGACCTGCCCCTGTGGTTTCTGAGCCCTCAAGCCTCTATGGGAGTAGAAAACATCATCTTTCTCCCAGCGCAGCTGCTGGTTTTGAACTGACAACCTCTGGGTCCTAGCCCAATGCCTAACCACTATGACACCAGAGCTGCTTAGCCCTCCAGAGACGGTATTATTTTTAAGATGAAGAAATGTAGACATAAAGCAAATGAAATAGCAGAATTAGGAAGTGGAAGAGCCAGGGTATGAACTTAAACAGTTTGGCTTACCGTTTCTGTGATGCTGCCTCTGAAGAAAAAGCTGACGAGAACAAAAGGCGCTCCCCGTGCCCGAGACGAAGGTAACCCTAAGGGTCATGGCAACAACAAATTCCAGGGTGACGGCGGTGCAGCTAGCTGCTCCAAGGAGTCACCCATCTTGTCCAAGGAGTCACCCATCTTGTCCAAGGAGTCACCCATCTTGCAGGAAGCAGAACGAGCAGCTTCCGAAGATCTTAAGAAGACAGAGGGTTCCTACTGTGAAAGGGTTTACTGAGAAAAGACTTAGACAGCGACGATGGTCCAGAGGTGAACAAATTAAACACACAGCGTGAACAACACAAATATAGGACATTGACACCAGGAAAACTGAAAAAGTGCAATAAAAGAAAGTTATCATGAGTTGCTTCTGAGCTCAGAATAGGAAAAACATATACGATGGTTATAAATCTATAACCATGGACTACTGAAATGTAGTCCAATAAAATTTTGCCATAAATCAGAAGCTCTCAAAAGTGTTCCCATAATAGTACCAGGGGACTCTGACTTTTCCATTCCCATTTTAGTCGAGGTGTGGAGCCCAAATTTCAGAGGCCACATTAGGTGCGATTTCTCAACAGAGTAAACGCAGAAGCCAGCATAAGAATCCACCTGTCTTCTAATAAGCCAAACATCAAATATTTGTCCAAGAAACAGTTCTTCTCACTAATTTTTTATGAAGAGTTTTCATTAGAAATATCACTTAATCAATATGTAAAGTACTAATCTAATCATGGTTTAAAAAGATAAAAACCAGTATAGTGTGTTTTTGTTTTAATTTCTAGTAGGATAATTACTGGCATATATATATATATATATATATATATATATATATCACAAACAAAAGCTTTTTGTGATTCACAATAATTGTTAAACAATGATAAAGGGCCCTAAAACCAAAAATTATGAGAACAGCTAATTGGGAGGCAGGGCTGAGAAGTGAGCTCCTGTGTGGTGCGAGGCTGAGCATAAAAGAGAATTAGTTCCGCATCTTTCATAATAAAAAGTCAACAGAAAGACTTTATTTGGAAAGACCTAGCCACAATACCAGCATGTGCTGTAGAGATACAGAATCACACAAATGTTTGTTTTAAGAGCTATCTATAGTCGGGATCAATATCAGTAGGAACTGGTGTGGTGGCACCTGGTTTAGGGCTGTTATCCAATAAGGTGGTTATAGTGGGATTGTGGCTAGTATGACCGAGGAAGTAAACATGTTTAACGCTGATAATTTAGAAGTAAATTTTAAAAGCTGAAGCAGTTTAAACTCTCGAGAACCCAGCTTTCGTTCAGGGTTACGGATTGAATAGTACCTTCCTAAAAGAAATGTGGGAGTCCTAATTCCCATAGCTATCATATGATGACCTGGTTTGGGGAGAACTTTTCTTTTGTTGTTAATGAGACAGAGCCAGAACAGGGTGGGTCCTAAACCCAATCATTTCTAGGTGATGTCTTGTAAGGGGACTGACAGAGATGCACACAGTGGGAAGAAGGGTGCTACGGAGGGACACAGCACTCTGATTGGGACTTTCAGCTTTCAGAACTAGGAAGGAAATAGCTGTTCTTTAAAACCACTACCGTTCTTTCAGAACTAGGAAGGAAATGGGTGTTCTTTAAAATCACTCGTGGTAATTTTCATTACAGTGGTACAACATAACTAATACAATAGGACTATATTTCACAGGAATACTGTATAAGATATAATTATAATATGTGTACCAGTCTCATGTACCATTTGGATACCCCATTAATACCACTTTATGTTGCTTATGTATTAAAATGATAAAAATATTATATAATGGGTTAATATGTTGTTAATTTTTCAACTGTTTCTTTTTCCTTTTTTGGGGAGCCTGGGGTGGGAGGGTGGGGAGGAATGCTACTTGCTCCTGGCCATAGCTCCATCTGTTCGAAACCTCTGAACCATGAGAGCCAATTATAGGAAGAAGCAAATATGCAGACAGAAACACAAGACAAGAAAGTTGAGGCAGAGGGTCAAACAACTCACGCAGGTACACCCACAGAAATATAGAATGTCTAAGGCTGTTCCCCTGGCAGGAGTTGTTGACTGCATGCTATTGCGTAGAACTTCCATCTCTATGGATAGAGAACTTCCATCACCATTCAACTGATCTCTGTGAACACCTGAGAGGCCCGCCTTGCTCTACCTACTCAGTATGAGTTTGATCCTCTGTCCTGGACCATCAACATTCTGGATTTGTTTTGTTCTCAGTTGTGGCTCAAAGCCATGTGCACAATAAATCCTCTTTTCTGCTGTCTTGCTGAAGAATAAGAAAAATAAGTGAAATGCAGCCACTAGAAAATTACGCATGTGACTCACATAGTATTTTTGTTGGACAATGCTGTTGTATGGAGTAAGAAAAGCCAGGGGGCCACGAGGGGAAGAAGGATGAATTTCATAATCACAACTCTGTTGGGAGACAAGGCTCCATGTACTCATCCTATTCCTACACACCTTGCAAGTGGAGTACTAATTGCCCATTTTTTCCTTATTATCTGTTTCTAAAATGCCTGTACAGCAAAGAGTCTTAAAAGAAATAGTAGTATTCTCTCTATCAAAGGGCAAGTATTTTTACCTCCTGTATCGTAAAAATTGTTTCTTAAAGCAAAGACAAGCATGCCTCCTGCCCAATATAAAAGATTCAGGTTCCCTATGATTAGGGATGTAACCTGAATTTTACATCCCTGCAAAATCCTATGATGTAGCCCACTACCTGCTGTGCTTCGTTTGGCCCTTGTGACATTGAACTGTGGGAAGTGGGACCCAGGAAACTAATATAACATGTACTGATTCTCAGAGCACTGCCATTGCCATCGCCATCCATCTCTGGCCCAAGAGCCTTGTGCTTTCCACAACCATCAATGCAAACTGAGGCAGGAGGGGGAATTTTCCTAATATGTAAAAATCACAGCCCTTTCATGATTATTAACTCTCTTACACCAGAACTCTCTCTTTAAGCACCGTGCATTTGTAACTTTGATCAAATTAAGGTCTACTTCATTTTTTAAGATATTAAAGGTATAGATAAAATTAAGAACCATCAGATGGTTCCTGTTTTCATATGTTAACTGACACAAATCAATTTTCTAAAGCCTTAATGAGGAGAGCATTAGAAAGAAGTCCCTCTCTTCAATTTCTATTTTTTTAACAGTCCCATTACCTGTTTCATCCTATCCGCATGGACACATATTTTATAATGATAAAGATTATCTTATATCACCTATTTTATAACTATATAAACTTTAAAATACAGAATATTAATTAATAAAATATCCTGTTCCTGATTTTAATTGAGATTTAAATACATACAATAGATCTTTTTAGTGTGGTCACTTTGGTAACTTACGGAAGGGAAAACATGGTTTCCCCCGTCTGAAATAAGTGCATCTACTTTCCCCCACCTTTACTCATTGAGACAAAATGCCCCTTGTATAATCAACCCTGTGCTTCATTCATTGCTAGAAAGGATCTTCATTCTTCTCTTTATGGTCCTCCCCCCACCACTACCCACCTCCCCAGGCACATCCAGGGTCACAAGGAGCCGGAAGTCTGGGAGAGGAATTGAAGCTTGCTCTCTCTGCCTACAGATGTGCAGAAAAGATGAAGCACACACTATTTACCACCAGGTGGAAAGCCATCAGTCAGTCCATCAGCAAGAACCGAAATGGGCTAGGCAACCGAATTTGAGAATGTTCCACTGTAGGGATACAGGAAGACTGCCTTGATAACAACTGGCCTGAATCTTGAAAGATGGGTAGAATTCAGGTAGGAGAGGATAGGAGAGAAATGCAATCCCTCCTTTTTATTGCCTAGAAACTAGAAGTGGGAAGTCAAGGAAGCCTGAAAGGGAGAAGAGTCTATTGAGCTAAAGAGCAATTTTGTAAAGAGGAACAGAGCTAAGAGGCAGGAGACACTCTTTAACCCTCAAGAGCTCTTTCCCCACTCCGATTATGACACTGAGTCCGTGTCCCAATACAGTGAGCCGCAATCCTGAGAGCAAAAAGAGACATTCGAAAAGCGAGCATACAGAGACCACGCACACGCACATGCACATGCACATGCACACGCACACACATACACACGCACACGCACAGGTGACCATGACCACTCACAATAAAGAGCCCCGCCGAGAAGCAGCCTAGGAGGCTGCAGAAATGCTCTGTGCAGGAGCAACGGGGGTTGCCTGGCTCCAGGACCAGCACTGCCCTGCCCTGGAGGGGACAGCTCCTCATCTGTACAACCAGGGTTGCCAGTAATTATGGAAACAGTCAAAGCGCCTCCCCCAAGGAAGGAAATTCAGAAAAACCAAAACCTGGCTCTGGAAATTTCCTTGACAACCATAGGACAAACAAGTACACAGAGGCTACACACTAGACTTGATTGGTTTTCTCAGCACCTTCCTTTCCCTGCCTGCAACCCAGCACGGAGTATCTGAGACATGTTTCTTCATCTGCACCTCTCTTTAAAGGCTCACGGTGAGCATGACAGGGTGAAGGCAGACCCAAGAAGGGCCTGGGTGGGGTTCTGGAGATGGTGGGGAGGTAAGGGAAAATGAGGTTGCCGGCAGGACCAAATGGGATCTATTCCAGTGAACATGCAGGGGTCCTTCATCCCTAGAGACCTGTCCTTCCGAGTCAGGCTGAGAGCATCAAGACTGCAGGCGAAAGTGCAAATGAGCTGACCCATTCGAATAGGACTCTACAGGCTCTCAAGGCTTCACAAGCCGGATTCCACACCAAATAATTCCATTAGCAACCCTGCTCGTCCCCGTGTAGCACTCTCCCTCTCTCTACCCAATTTCCACTTAAATCTAAAACTTGCTGCTAGAAATAACTCAAGATTCCTCCATTTACATTCCTTTTATACATTCCTTTGACAGCCAAAGGACTGTGTATTATTGTACATAAGTATTTGATTACAAAGACACGATATTTGTAGTTAAGGAGCCCCAGTGATGTAGTTACACGTGGGACTCTGAACCACCAGGACAGCAGTTTGAAACCACCAGCCACTCCTGGGAGGGGGCGGGGGTGGGGGGGGAGAAGGAGCTTTCCAGCAAGTCAAGAGTTACAGGCTACCTAAGTGACAACAAATTAAAAGGAAGAAAAGGCATAGATCCAGGAATGGGTTTGGGGCTCACATTAACTCCTAGCTCCAATTTAAGAACAATTACT